GCCTGGCAAGGGGTGGGGGCGGGCGCTCACAAAGGCCCGATCTTTGTGTTCAAAACCAGCCGGGGCCATTCAGGGCCGGTGGGGGCGGGGCCGCTGCGCACTCGGATAGTGCACCGGGCGGGGTGGGGACACGGGGGACCGCCCCCACCGCCCTCGACTCCCAGCCCGCCCCTCGCACCCACTCGCGCGGCGCGGGTGTGAAGGCTGGGGACCAGCTGTCATCTCTGTTCTGGGGTCACGGCTTGGGCCCCGCACCTTGACCCGCCCCTGACGCGCCCACCAGACGCTGCTGCGCGTGAGGTTCAAGTGCATCCCGCGCTGGTGGGGGTCTGAGTGGAGACGGACTGTCGGGGGCCCCTGCCTGCCCCCAGAACTGGGTGGCTGGACCCCGCAGGCGGGTACGGTGAGGAAGCTCCCCGGAGGCGGCGCCTGAGGACCCAGGGCTTCGGCGAGACAAGGGAGGGTGTGGAGGAGAGGCCCAGCGGGAGACCTCGGACCCCTGACTGCCTCCCACTCGGCGGCGTCCGAGGGGCAACGTAGGGTGGGGGCAGGGAGACGCCGTGAACCTGGCTCGTGGGGACACGGACGCCCCCTACCCGGGGACCCGACCTCGCGCCCCCCGCCTTGGGCGGGAGTTCCATGAGTGGGGACAGCGACAGCGTCCGCAGTGGGCGGAGGGCTTTCGGGTGGTGTGTCTCGGGGTAGCAGCCTCGGGGCGGGGCTGGGATTCGCGTAGTGGCGCCAGCCGAGGACAGCGCGGCGCGGGCTGTGCTGCCGCCCCGTGGCCACGGAGAGCACTGCGCCCAGGGTCCCGGTGGTCCGAGGAGCGCACGATCCCCGCCCGCACTCCGCTGAGCTGCGGACGCCCGGGGGCGGAGTTGTAGTGCCGGCACCCAGCACCACCCCTGTCGGTTCCGGAGCCCAGAGTTCTTTGGGGTTGGCCGAGGGAGGGCCCTTTGCCCTGGTGTGGTGGCCAGAGGCAGGACGGCAATAGGAGGTGTCTCACCGGGCTGGGGCGCGAAGGGCGGGGTAGGAAGCTGAAAGCAGTTCCCATGGGAGTGGCCAGGACCAGGCCAGTGGCGGCCAGGACCAGAGAGGCCAACTCAGTGCGGAGCTCAGGCTGCAGCCACCAGAGCTGGCTTTACTGTGTGTGGGGACAGGGTGAAGGTGCAAGAAGCCCAGAGGAGAAAGCCTGAGAGGATGAGAACAGTCCAGGAGCGCCCAGGTCTCGCTTGGATGACCTCAGAAGAAAACGCCCAGCAGGCTCTTCAGTGTTGCTGAAGTTACAACCCTGCCAACTTGTGGGGCTTGGAAGGGGTGGGGACCAAAACATGGGGGCACCTGAGAACGAGCTGCCATAGAGGCCCCCAGCCGGGTGGTCAGGGACAGCTCAGCAGGGAGGGCCCTAAGCAGGGTCAGTCGCCCCTTCAGCATGTCTGAGGAAGGGGCAGGTGTGTTGACTCATAGCAGCTCCTGGCTTCTGAAGTCCCCAGAAGGAGACCCAAAGCAGGGCCTGGAGATATAACCCCATCACAACCTCATCAAGGAATGGCAATGCTGTGCTTTTCTCCTTTTTGGTTGAACAGGTTAGGGAGGGCATTCCTGGGTCCTGGGGCCATGAGTGAACAGTCAGGAGGACACAGGACATGGCCACCACATGTTGCACTTCAGGACACAGACCACAATTGTCCCTCTGAACCATCAAGACCAGTCATGGGGTGCTACCAGATCACCCCATGGTGCCTAGAGCCTCAGCAGCGGGGACCAGGGATGGGCAAGGCTCTGATGGTCCAGTAGAGGCTGACATTGGCAGACTCTCTTGGCGGTCACCCTGCCT